GTAACTCTGTCCAAAAAGATTTTGTGATCGTCTATTTAGGATTATTTTAAAGCTTGAAACTTCTGCTATTGACTTGCATACATTATTTTTTGTAATATTGTTGCTTTAAGGATTAAACGGTAAGAGAGTAATAGTACTTTTTTCGAAAATATTACAAAGTCAAATAACTCTAAGAGATTAGACAATTTTAACCTATTACAATTTTGTCAAAAAACATCCGATGAGGGTCAATTTAGGCTCGTTTTGAAGGCTACACCTTCTAATATATATATAACATAGATTGCTTCTTTCTAAACTCCAATTGAAACAGAAAGTATGCAAGAAAAAACAATAGTTTAAAACGCCTCTATGAACTCTGACGAATTCAAACTGTTGTAACTTCATAAAAAAAATTTGTAAAACAGTATCTTTGGTCTTATTTTGAAAAGTGATGCTTCTAATTCCTCGTCAGTAAATTCTTTTTCCCTAGTAATGCGATAAGTTACAACTAATTAAATATTTAATCAATCTCGCAGTTCAGAAAAATTGAAATTTTCGTCATTTCCATAAAGTAATCGTCGAAAAAGTCGACTGAGGAGAAAAAAATAAAGTGCAAATCTTCTACTATCATTTCCTTGAGTTTTACTTTTATAGCAATTTTTTGCAAAGTAGATTTAATATTATTAAACCACATTAAATTTAATATTTTATTCGATTTTGTTTTATTATTTTAAGTTAAAGCTTCAAAGTGCCTTATATAAAAAAAGATTGTAATAATTTGTTATATTATTGTTACATTATTGTTATATTACTGTTATATTATTGTTATATTCCTGCTATATTATTGTTATATTAATGTTATATTACTGCTATATTATTGTTATATTATTATTATATTATTACTGTTATATTATTGTTATATTAATGTTATATTACTGCTATATTATTGTTATATTATTATTATATTATTACTGTTATATTATTGTTATATTAATGTTATATTAATGTTATATTATTGTTATATTATTGTTATATTATTATTATATTATTACTGTTATATTCCTGCTATATTATTGTTATATTATTATTATATTATTACTGTTATATTATTGTTATATTCCTGCTATATTCCTGCTATATTATTGTTGTATTATTGTTATATTATTGTTATATTACTGCTATATTATTGTTATATTATTGTTATACTCCTGCTATATTATTGTTCTTATATTTGTCACATTATCCACAAATCAAATTTTTTCACGTACACGTAAAAATGCCTCTATTCTGAAAAATCTGTGATTTCGAAATCCCAAATGACTCTCAAAACTATAATTTCGTTGTGACATACAAAAAGATGACTTTAAAAAATATTTTCCTCGTCCGAAATCACCACAAACTCGACGGTCAAAGCCTCTCCTTCACGATAAATCAAAATAAATCGGCGCACGGTGTTTCGTTACGAAATCGCCTGAAATAATTGAACAACTTTGTGACTCATTCCGCACAGCCTCCCGAACAGGTGCAACGTATGATAAGAGGGAGTAGGGAGGGAGCGTAATCGGCGTGGAAAATCGCGGAGCACGATACGCAACGAGATCTCAGGTTGCACATACAGTAATTAAAATTCAGCGATCGGCGTTCAATCTGGCCGAAGAGCGTTCATCTCCGTGAAATACGTAATGTTCGTGCAAACCACGATATTTCCGGTCTTATCGCCTGCTTATCGCGTTATGATTGATCGCAGGTAAACCGAGAACTTCCAGTTAATGTATCATTATGCGGAATCGTACGAAAGTGCTGCTGGGAACTGTCGGACACTGTCGGTTTCCGCGAGTTCTTTTTGTAACTGGAACCGTGACAGTAATGACGGTCATGTTCGCCGGAAACGCCGGGCAACTAATGATTTTAAAGGAAAATCTGTCCGATCTTGCGACACCCTTTCGAGTAATTAATTCGACGAACAACCCTAAACTTTCGTTTTTATACAATGCTATGGAACTTACACGTTGATGGAATAATTTGCTTCAATGATTATTCATTAATATGGTTTATAATTAAATTTTACCGCTAACTAAATTCAATTATAATTATACTTTATGTAAAAATCTATAAGAATTTTTATTTCTGTTAAATATCTATTACAAATATCTATTACAAATTCCATTGAAGAGAACAATATTAATTGGAGAATCGTTTATTAATGCAAGAACAATATCGAAAATCAAATATGCATTTGTATCATTAAAAAATAGATAGTAAACGTAATAGTACGCATTTATGTAAAAAATTGGTAAATTAAATGCAAGACGATGAAAGCTTCATAAGAACAGTTTTAATTAATACTATTCTTATATTGTTTCCAAT